TATTTGTTGCATTTCCAATATATTTGTAAGGTTAATTGCATTTCCTTTTATTTTTATTTTTATCTTACTTGAGTATTTGTTGCATTTCCAATATATTTGTAAGGTTAATTGCATTTTCATTATTATTATTTTTTTATGTTACTTGCATTTCCAATATATTTTAAATATTTCTTGCATTTTCATTATTATTTTTTGCTAATAGATTATACAAGCACATATGTGGTTTGGTGCAATTGGGCAAGGCAAAAAAACTTTCAACCATCATGAATGTTGGGAGGTGGTGAAAAATTGCGAACGCTTCAGAATTATTCTCATGGGTCCCCTCGTTATGTTAAACGAGACGTCACTCCATGATTCAACGACATCGGATTCACCTCTTGATTCCTCTATGAGTTAAGACTCACCGATCGAAAAGGAGCTGAGACCCATTGGCCAAAAGGCTGCGAAAGTGAAGAAAGAGAGTAATTCTAGCACTAATACATCAAAAAAAAATTGGAGGAAATTGCAAGGCAAAGAAGAAACATCATAATGCTTCTCAGCACCTCCTCATCAAACATACACGCCGCACCTCGAATAATCAACCACCTGGCTTGGAGGATGCCAAAACACCTTTCGACATCTTTTCTGTATCCTTCTTGATATGAAGCAAATAATCTTTGCTTCTGAGATCGGGGATTCAGAACTGATTTGACAAATGTGGTCCACCTCGGGTAAATGCCGTCGGCTAGATAATACCCCGTCTGGTAAACGATATTGTTGATTTGATAGGTGATATTCGAGACTTCACCTCTCAAAACATCTTTGAAGATCGGGGATTGACCCAGCACGTTGAGGTCATTTTGAGATCCAGCAACTCTGAAGAAGGCATGCCAAACCCATGCATCGAAGCCAGCAACAGCTTTAAGTATGATACTTTTTTAGCATTTTCTATTTCTGTAATCTCCTTGCAAGGCAGTTGGGCAATTCTTCCATTGTCAGTGCATGCAGTTGATGTTATCAATCATTCCTGAAAATCCTCGAGCTTCGGCTTTTTGTAAAACTCGTTGGAGGTCTCTGGGCGTAGGTCTGCGCAGGTAGTCCCTAGTGTACAGAGTTTCGACTGCATCACAAAATCTTACCAAGGCCTCTAACGTAGTGGACTTCCCCATCTGGGCAATCCCATCCACATGATCAGCAGATGAACCATATGCCAACATTCATATAACAGTTGTAAGCTTTTGCTCCGGAACAAGTCCCAAAACTCCAGCGGCATCACACTTTTGAACAAAGTATGCATCATAATTGCAAATATCATACATGACTTTATTGAACAAATGGGGTTGCATTCTATATCACCTTCGAAAATCAACATTAAAGTACAAAAAAGTTGGGATAAAATAATCTTCCAAAATATTCTTATCCCGAGAATGCCTATATCTATCGACATTCGGGCCACGGCCGACTTGTGAATCACGGCGGCGACCTTGGTTCTCTTCATCAAGCAAAGCTACTGCTATGACAACTTGTTCATCTTATTCTCTCTGTAACCTTTGCTTTTCAACTCGTCTACGGCTTCTCTCATTTATTTCTCGCTCTTGCCTCTCCAAGCATCTCCTCATGTCTTCCATTGAGAATGGAGTACGAATTCTAAACTCTGAGAAATGAAAATATAGAAAGATGTCGTGTGAGAGCTATGAACTAAGCCTATGGTTTTATAAAACAATTTGGCCAGATAGAGATGACACGTGACTCGATTTTAAAGGATGAAAATCTTATCTGAAATTTGAAATTTGAATGTTGAAATTCATCCGAAATTTGAAATTTGAAATTCATATGAAATTTGAAATTTGAAATTTATCTGAATTTTGAATTTTGAAATTTATCTGAAATTTGAACCCAAAAATCTTATCCGGAAATTTTATCCGATTATGAGATAGGAATAGTCGTGACACGTAGGAACCCGAAAATCTTATTCGAAAATATTATCCAAATTAATTATTGAGGTAAAAATAATTTTGAAAAAAATAAAAAAAAAATGAATAGTAATTGCCTTTTGCCATAGAAACGAGTGGAAACACACAACGTTAATTGCAAGGGCAAGCACTATTCATGTGAATAATGGCTGCCATAGCCCCCCCTTGCCATGGCAAAAGGCAAATGGGTGGAGTTTGTAATACCCCGACTCCAAATTTATCTCATGTTTTAATTAATTTGAGTGGAATTACGAATTTACCCTCGGGATAGGGGTAATTTGGTCATTTTTATTCTGAAGGAATTTGGAAATTCTGACTATACTGTTGCGTAGAGCACGGCGAGATGCGTCCGTAGAGACGTAGTGGGCTTAAATCAGAGCTGTAAGGAACAAGTTACGTGAAAAACATCACTAGTGGCAAAATCGTAAATATTTTGAAATGGGTTTTTGGTTAAAAGACAGAAAAGCCCTCAGCTCTCTCTCTCTCTCTCTCTCTCCCCCGCGTGTCTCTCTCTCTCTCTCATCTGGTTCGCGATAGTCATCACAGCCTGCCACGTTTTGGCCGGCCGTTCGCTCATCCGGCCACCAAAGTCGACGGGGCCGGTACCAAAATGACCGGGCCACAGTCCTCTTCCTACCCCAGCCAGGTCCCGCTGCCAGCCACCGTGATTTCGCCGAAAAACGAGGAGAAAAGCTCCGATTTTTTACAGAAACTTCGCTGGCTTCGTTCTCCGTTGTCCGGCCAACCATTCCGGCAAGTGAGGTATGGTTTCTCACCTATTTTCCGAGCTCTAACTTCCTGTTGGGTAGGAATTGATCAATTTGTAGCGTAGGCAACTCGATTTACGAATTGGGTTTCAGCCGAATTTCGATGGGTGATTTCGGTCACTTCCGGTCAGTTTTTGGGGTATGCCCAAGAACAAAAGTGACTCCAAATAGAGTGTTTTACCTAGGGTAGGAGTCTTGAGCCGTGATTATGGGTTTTTCCGGCGATGGGTTATCGCTTTGGACACCCACGCGCTGCCGGCGCGTGTGGCAGCGCGTGGGCACTGTAGAAAAAGGGCTTTGGGTCCCAATTTGGTCTCCTAGTTTTCATGAGCGCGTGGGTTCTTTCGGATTCCAATCGGTTAAAGTTTGAACCCCGAACGGATTACGCATATTGTCGGTTATCCGGGTTCGATAGGTTCGGACTATTGGATTAATTCCAATTTAATATATATTGATCTGAGCATTCCTAGGATCGTGTAGGATTCGACGGATTGTAAAACGGAGTCCCGGATACTCCGAAAATGCCAACCCTAGGGTTAAGTTTATAGTAACTGTCCGATCGTGCGATTGTGAGCGATCCGACCGTCCGATCTGGACTAAACTTGCAAGACGTGCATCCTAGACCCTGTAGAACCTATCGGAACTTTCGGATCGGAATTTGGAGGTTGTGGGCCCCGTGGGCCTGTTTGACCCTAGGTTAACCGTGAGACTTCCGAGATAGTCTTACCTTTCTTTGAGGGTTAGAATGACCTTAGTGACGGGTCTTGATTGTATGTTGGTTATATGGGATTAGGATATTTGTTACGGTTCAGAATTTGGGGATATTTGGATGCTATTCCAGGGTTGAGGTTTATGAAATAGAGGTTTATATTTATATATAATCATGTGTGTATACAAAGGTATGAAAGTGTTTAGATGCCAGTTTGAAGTGTTATACACACTACCCTATGTACCTCTTCGGATTTTGATTACACTGTAAGTACCGTCCTCTGATTGTGTTAAGGCCTTTAAATCCGTGCGGGGTGGTGAGAATGTAGCCAGGCCCAAAGCGAATAGTTAGATGGTTGGTGAGAATATAGCCAGGCCCAAAGCAGACAGTGAGGTATGCTTGTGAGGTCGCACGTGTCGTAAGAGTAGCCGGCGTGTTGACAGACCTCATATGAGGCCGGG